TTTTACACTAAGTTCAGGTCTACTACTTTTGATAGATATTGCCGTGCTCAGACCTACGATGCCAGACCCAATGATGGTGATATCCGTAGGAGATTCGATAAAATATTTTTCCCAAAAACTAAAATTCATTATCTTGCGCCTTCTTTGTGCAAAAGTAAAACAAATAAAACAATATGATTCAGAGAATACAAAGTATATTTCTATTATTAAGTGGTGTTTCATTTTTTAGTTTATTCGGAGTGCCATTTGCTACAAGCTCAATAGCTATCCCAGATTTACTTTCTGATATGGTTTATAATGTCCAGGACAGCCCGATTCTGATGGTTTTGGCTGGTTTGGGTGGTTTGATTTGTATGGGAGCTATATTTCTATATAATAACAGACCACTTCAGATTAAAATGAGTTATTTGGGTATTGTTTTTTCGATTTTATTGGCTGTTGTGGCGTTTTTGTTAATTTACAATGAAAAGACTTTTACCACCCAAAGTGACAAAATCGATGATTCATTTGGACTTTACTTACCTTTTATTTGTTTAATATTATCTGGTCTTGCAGCTAGATTCATTGGCAAAGACGAAAATACAGTAAGGTCTATGGATAGATTGAGATAATCGATGGAAGATAAATTAGATTTATCATCTGAATGTATTTTTTCTACAAGCCGCAGTAGTGGACCAGGTGGACAACATGTGAATAAAACCGAAACTAAAGTCGAACTCAGGTTTAACATTTCAGATTCGGTTTTATTGACATCGGCACAAAAAAGGATGATTTCCAAAAATCTAGGCAATAAACTAATCGAAAACAACAGCACTATCCTACTCACTGCCCAAGAGACAAGAAGTCAAGCAAAAAACAAAGCATTGGCCATTAAAAAATTGCACGATTTGATCAATGAAGCTTTAGTTCAAGATGAGCCAAGAATCGCGACCAGACCTACAAAAGCATCAAAAGAAAAACGAATCTCGACCAAAAAAACATCTGGAGAAATAAAATCCATGCGTGGCAATCTTAAGAATAGGGAATGGGAAGATTCTTAATGTAGTGATCTGTGATCGGGTGATCTGTAAGAAGGACTATAGATAAATAAATTTATGATGGATTGGATGAATGAGAGAATGTATGAATCATAAAGTGAGAGACTAGTATGAATTAAAAATAATGAAATAATCTCCAGAAAAATCAATTAAATTTCTATTTTTGCAAATAAATATCCTAACCAAATGATATCAAAAAAAGTAAATTCTGTCCAAGAAGCTTTACAAGGCATAACCAATGATATGACGCTCATGCTCGGAGGATTTGGGCTTTGTGGTATACCAGAAAATGCCATAGCACATTTAGTAAAAATGGGCGTTAACAATCTAACTTGCATCTCGAATAATGCTGGTGTTGATGACTTCGGTCTGGGATTACTGCTTCAAAATAAACAGATCAAAAAAATGATTTCATCTTATGTAGGTGAAAATGAAGAATTTGAAAGGCAGATGCTGTCTGGAGAACTGGAAGTAGAGCTTATTCCGCAAGGTACGCTAGCAGAAAGATGTAAGGCTGCACAAGGTGGGTTCCCTGCTTTTTATACACCTGCAGGATATGGAACCGAAGTAGCCGAAGGCAAGGAAACTAGAGAATTTAACGGAAAGATGTACGTCTTAGAAAAAGCATTTGAAGCAGATTTTGCCATCGTGAAAGCGTGGAAAGGAGATGAAGCAGGAAATTTGATATTCAAGGGA